GTGCGCGGGCTGCGAACGGCGGCCTCACACCCGCCAGGCCGCGGCGGCCCCGGGCCATGGCGCCCCGAGTCTCGTCGCCTGTAGCGGAACGGGGCTGTGGGGAACACACAAAGGGACTGAGCGCGACCCCCTGCTCGGTGCGAACGGCCTAGCGAGCAGCACGTTGTAGGGACAACTGCCTTCTTTCCCGGGTGACCGATATAACGAGAGGAAGGCTGGTCAGGGGACCCCAAGAGCGCTTGGACGGTTCCCGTACTGAACCGGAAGTGAGGTGCCGGCGGTGGGTGGGGCCAAGACGGAAAAGCAAACTACGAGAAGCGAGAAGGGCCCGCTTTTGCGCCTGCGCACCTTCTGCCTGCTGTAGGCCGGGCGGTGATCGTAGACATCTGGGGCTACTGGGGCCGTGGAGTTGTTCAAGTCTTACTATCTCAGGCATTTGCTCTGGCTGAGTTTCATGAAAAAGCTTTTCGGAAGCCGGGTAACCTCAGGAGGCTGAGACCTCAGGACTGTGGTTGGAAGCCAGCCTGGGCAAGTTCTATGGACTCTTAACAATCAGCAAAAAGCCACAAGTGGAGCACTTACGACCTACGGAGAGCGAGACCGTCCGTCGAGGCACAGACAGCGAAAGGTGGACAAAAGAAGTTTATTTACACCAGAAAGGGGTCTTGAGACTATCTATACCCAGAACCAAGAGTAGCCTCGACCACCAAACCTCCAGGCCACTCAAGAGGCAGCCTCGACCCCCCCCCCCGACCTATTAGTTGGTCTGCAAACCTCCAAACCTCAGACCTCCGAAGCTCCAAAGGGGAAGGCTTTTCCCTGTCTCCCCCTCCTCCTCCACCGCAGGCCTCTCAGCTCTCCACAGGCCACAGGCCTGCCCTGCCCCGGAGGCGCCTCTCCGCAGGCCTCTCCAGAGGAAGGCGGAAAGGCCTCCCAGGCGTGCCCTGCACTCACAGGCCTGCCCTGCCCCGGAGGCTTTCCTCTCCTGCCTTCTCCTCCACTCCAACTCCTCCCCCACAGTCACTAACTCCGCACTAACCTCCCCTCTCCTCAGGACCCCCGGTCTCCTCCGGACTCCCCTCTCCTCAGGACCCCTGGTCTCCTCCAGACTACCCTCGCCTCAGGACCCCAGTTTTTCTCCTGCTCCCCCTAACTCCCCTAACCGCTCCTCCGGCCTCTGGTTTTTCCCCTACTCCCTTTAACCTCTCCTCAGGCCACTGGTTTTTTTTCTCCTACTCCCCCCAGGCATAGGAGCATGCACGCAGCCTATATATACCCAGATAGTCTAGGTCCCTCCCTCACTAACGGTTTCAAACCACCATTCAAGCTCCTCCCCCAAGGTGCCCCCTCTCCAATCCCAATCAGCAGCTCACCATGTGGGACTCAACGCCCCACCCCTCCAGTGGCATGCCCCGCCCCCTTTCTGCGGCCTGGGGCGCCCGGTGAGGCTGTGACGTCAGCCTCTCAAAGCCCTGCTCTGTCCGGTGGCCTGGTCTGTGGAGGGGTGAGGCTCTCCTCTTGATGCCCCGCCCTCCCAAGCAGGCCGGCCACGGGGCCGCACTGACTATTGGGCCCCCACTGATTATGCGGCCCTGTGGGTTATTTCAGAGCTCTGGTTCAAATGATAGATCACTACTAGCCTTGGGCAAAAAAGTTTGAGGACAGTGCCCAGGCCCAGAGTTCAAGCCCAGGACTGGCAAAGAGGCAGGAAGAACCGAAGGAGGGAAAGACAAGAAAGAGTGAGCTTCTGAGATCAAGTGCAGTTCCTAGCGCCTTGTTTTTCACGTGTTGGAAACTCAAAACCCTCCAGTACTGGACAATGAAATGACACCCAATATGGACAAGAGTGATCAGGGCATTTTACTTCTTCACCGAAGGATGGTTTGCCATTCTACCCAGAGCTAGGTAGGCACACTGGACCAGGTGGTCCCAAAGGGGAATGTTGACCCTTCTCTTTGTTGGTAAGGAGTCAGGCTCACAGTTTATTTACAATGGTCACCAAGGTGATGGGGCAATACAAAGAAGTTAGAAAGTACTCTCTAACAGTCAACAGAAAGGTCTCTCGGTAAAGGAGCTGTCCTTTTGGAAACAAAGGTACACACTCTTCTCACAGCTGGCTGGGAATGAAACATCTGATGGTTAGTTGGAGGAGGTTGGTAAAGTCAGTGGAAAGCACACAATCTATATCTTCGACTCTACTGATCAGAATACATACCTTTGAAAGACTGGCTGGTTACAAGCAACACAGATGCAGATGAGAGTTTCAATTGAAATAAAAAGGTAAATCTAGGAAACATCAGTACCAGGAAATATCAATACAGAATGGAGACATTTTCATTTGACAGAAAAGATTGCTTTCTACACACACACACACCACACACACACACACACACATACGTCTCCCAGAAATACTTTTCCCATAATTATACAAATAAATAGTAAATCAGGACTAAAATTTAGTGTTTTGATACTATTTTCTTGATCTATTGATTCCATAAGCTTAGCTCTCTATACCATACACCCTAAAACCCTCTGAAAAAGAGACTAGGTTCATTAAAGCCTACATTTCTTTTTAGGAAACTAAAAGCACTTTCTGGACCAGAGAGAAAAATAACTCTAGTTGGGTGTGTTGATTTGATCTTTAGACTTCATGAATCCTAGCATTTGATCTTTAGACTTCATGAATCCTAGCATTTGTTCACCTGTCTTTAAGCCTATGATGAGTTTTCCCCACACACTTCCTTCTAAGCTAGGAAGGTCCTAGCTTAGAATGCTGAGCCTGAGATTCCAAGAGATCAGTCCTGTCACCCTGATTCCCATCCCTTGGGGCCCAGCTCAGTGCCTGTTACAACAGGCAGAGGTAAATAATTGCTGAACACAGTTCAACATTAGAACTCTTGTTTAGTGTCCTAATTCAGAGATATTCTTTATTAACCATTTCTTCACTCTACCATTTCTTCACTCACCATTTCTTTACCACTTGAGCCACACCTCCAGTGTGACATATTGCTAGTTGATTCAAAATGACATTTTGCTACTCATTTGGAACAGAGATCTTCAGTGTTTCAGTCTCCTGCATAGCCAGGATTACAGTCATGGGCCCTTGGTGCTATTTTTATTACTCTATTAACTATATTTTCTTACTTTCCATACTCATAATGCTCTGACAGATAAGGCCTCTGACTAGGGAAGGGCTGCCTCTTCAAGGGTTTGATCATTCTGGTCATAGCAAATAATTCACTACACAGCATACTTTTCACATGCAAACTATCCAACTGGGAGCCTCTCCTCTCCCTCCTTTACCAGGCTGTTTACACTCTAAGCAATATTCTCCTGCCTCATCACCCCAAAGCTAAGTGCTAAATGACCCTTATATCTTAAAGCTGCCTGAAATTATCCAAATTGATCCTGAGTCTGCTTGCCTGGACCATTCTACAGAAACCAAAAAGAGATCTTTTGCCACAATTCCTCTCACTCTATCTGCCTCCTAAGGATGTTGGTGCTTTTCCATATGTATGTGGTGATGTGGTGACATGTATTTTCTAATGTGTAGCATTGTGTCTCCTCTCTGGGGCTCTTTGATAGCAAATTGATCTTTTCCACAGCAGTTATCTTTTGACCTGCTGTCATTCTATGGTGAGACACTCTATGGTGAGACAACTAGAGTTTTCTACAGATTCTGCGTGTTAAGGGGGGTAAATAGCAGTTTTTGCCACACCTAGTTTTCAGAACCAAGAGGTAATTAGTACCTTAGGCAGGATTCCTGCCCAAGAGAAGCATACCATTTAACACCCAGAGTTGATTTTATTTTGAAATATGTTTCCCACATATATATTGTTCTTTGGGCTCTTGTGAATGTAATGACATTTTCTTTTCATTGCTGTTTAAGGCTTTTTGATTTATACAGGTTTTCATACTTTTGTTGAAATATGTTGAAAGGGTGACTTTCCCTTCAAAAAATTGTCTATCCATATCTTTTTGCCCACTTATGTGTGTCTGTGTCCTAGTGCTAAGGCTTGAACTCGGTGCCTGGGTGCTGTCCTTTAGCTCTTCACTCAAGGCTAGTGCTCTACTCCTTGAAATACCTGCACTTCTGGCTTTTTTTGTCCATTTATTGCATGTCATTTTCAGTTTTGTATACAAGTTCAGTTAGTCCATTACCAGCTTTAGATATCACGTATATCTTCTCTCAGACTGTCATTTATGTTCTTGTCCATCTCAGTTTGCAGTTTTAGGCTTTTGAATCTTATCAGTGATGAGTCCTTCCCATCCAGAGCCATATTTTCTCCTATTGGCCTTGTAGCTGGAACTTACACATTTTATGTTCACATGTGACACAGCTCCTGTCCATCATGTTTACAAAAAAAATTTAAAAACAAATTATTAGGGGCTTTATTAATACCTATTTCAAAGCAGCAGTTCTCCAACCTGGCTGCACACTGGAGTTGTTTGGAGCTATTCAAAGAGAACAAGTGTGTGGGCCCCTCACCAGGCCAGTCAACTAAACCTCCAAGAAAGGGCAGGATCCAGTTAAAGGTGTTTTTATATAGGGCTCCATTAAGTCCAGTGTACAAGCCAAGGGTTACATGCTCTGCCCTTTGCTTCCAGATCCTGATGACTATACCCATGTCTGGTTATCCGGCACCTGGCCCTTTTCATCATCTTTTGGAGATGATGGTGTCCCCCTCTCCTATTTCAATAGTCATCACCTCCCTCATAAGTGCAATGACCAAACTTGTTGATACTGTCTCCAGAGTTGTTAGGCAAGATGGTTGTTATTTATGTTTGCCTGTGCAATTGAACTGTCCTCCGCTTATTGCTGGAGTTCACCACAATAAGTAGTGCAACAATACATGTCCACCATGCAAGTATGCAATGTAAATATATTTGGAA